ATATCGTTTTAAATTATCAACAATTCAATCTGATCAATATCAGATTTATTCGGTTTATTTACAAGATAAAATTGATGTAAGTATTTATTATATATATATATATAATATTCATTTATTGTTTTAATTCGTTTTGTGATTAACTGCTACCCATTTCAAAATCGAAGGCGAGTGATTACGAATCGAATAACTCGGGAACGGAAGCAGCTATGGAAAAATTTCATTGGTCAGTAATGGACCAATAGGATAAAAGTCTACTGGACATTTTGAAGATAGCTTTTGGAACGCTTTTTTTCGTTGGATTTTGAACTGGAATTAAATTATTCAATAGAAAAAATTGCTCTCTTTCGATCTGCATAAGGCCAAGCTCTATAGCTTGCTCTGTTCGATAGCTATAAGCATTTTCCTGAGATCTCCAAAATCGGCCAAGTGACGTGGAATCACATTTAAAAGCGTTACATTATAGGTAATATGACCACGCTGAATTCAGTGGTGATGTTTGTTTTTTGTTTCAAAGTACTCCGAGATCACTGTATCGAGATTTTCAATATACGTGTTGTTTAAATCAAATAGCAGCAAAAACTAGATTTACGAAAACTTTTGTATAATGATCTCAGAGTACTTTGAAATAAAAAACAAACATCACCACTGAATTCAGCTGGTCGATTACCTATAATGTAATACTTTTAAGGGTGATTCCGCGTGACTTGGTCGATTTCGGGGATCTCAGGAAAATGCTTATAGCTACCAATCAAAATCCAACGAAAAAAGCGTTTCAAAAGTTATCTTCAAAATATCTTCTTAATGGTAAAAATCGCAGCTCCATAGTTGCTTCCGTTCTCGAGTTATTCGACTCGCCTTCTATTTTGAAATGGATAGGAGATATAATGAAACATATGTTGGATAAATAGCATTGATTTGTTATTGTAAAAATTTATTAGTATAATTGAAATAAATTTCGATAAAATAATCAGTTAATTAAAATAAAAAATATTTAAATATTTTGAGATATGTTCAATTAAATATTGAAAAATTGAAATAAAATTGTTTTAGTGTGAAAATGATGAAGATATAAATGAACGTGGAAAAATTTTAATTAGTCTTATGTTTTCAAATGAAACATCAGATTTTCATGTTAAAATAAAACGTGCTTGTTATTTATTACCAATTGATATTGATCGTAAATCAAATCCTTATTGTCAATTATGTTTATTCTCATTTGATCATTTATCGAACAAATTAAATTTTAAAACAGATATTAAAAAACAAACTTTGAACCCACAATTTAATCAAGAATTTATTTATAAAAATATTCAATTAAAAAAATTAATTAAAAAAACATTACAAATAACTGTTTATGATAAAGATTTGGGGAAAAAAGACAATTTTATTGGTAACTAGATTTCATCTATTTATTAATCATTATCTCGACTTCTTTGTTTTTTTTTGTTCAATATAGAAACAAATTAGATCTCAAATATAAGAATTCGAACTCTAATATTGAAGTTTATTTATTAGAAATAAATCATTTTTACTAGATTAAACAATTGATTATTAAATGTTTGATTTTATTAAATTTGATTAGTGATAGTTTAATTCAACAATTAAATAATACTTTTGTTTTGATAAGTTAAGAGATAAGAATTGAATGTTAATTTATTTATTTATTTTAAAATAAATAACTAAGTAAGATTTCTCTAATACTAGGTGGATTTCGAATAGGTCAATCAGAAAGTGGAGATTATTTGAAACATTGGTTCTTAATGATAAAATGGCCAAATCGATCAATTGATATGTGGCACAAATTAAAAAATGAACATTTTTATTGATTATTAGCTAAAGAACATTTTTCAGAACATATTTATATGATCAATTATTTAATTATCAAATTTTCAATGAAATTCGACTAAAAAAACAAAATAAATCGCTGTTTTGAATAAGAATTTATCTTCATTGAACAATAATCCATCTTAACAATAATATATTCCAATATATGTTCTTTATTATCTTTCTTTTCTCTTTTTACATTACTATTCACTAAAAACAATTTTCTTTATTCTTCTTTAACATATATATCTTTTTCTCCGTTATTATTTTATTCGACATATTATATCCTAATGTTTATTTATCAATAATATATAGTCTTTTATTTGAGATTTTTACTGTGTGATGAGTTGACCAATACTACAAAGTACACGATAAAATTGTTATTTTTTTAAATATTTTTTGCACTTGCATATTTCACGAACGGATAAAACCAGAGAGCTGAAATTTTGGCCACAATGAGTTCTCATTCTTCTAAAAAATTCAGCTCTCAAGATAGTTCATACCGTTCAGGAGACTTTCATTAAAAACTTGGTTTAGATTAAAATCACGATCTTGAGAGAGTCCGATCCAGAGCAAAATCAAATTTATAGAAGTCAGTCTCATGTAGATCTAAAGTGCCTACTGAGTACTATAGAGTTATGAAAAAAATTGACGTGCGATCTCAAAGAATGATTTTAAGAGACTTATTGAAAAATCTTTAACAATGAATCCTTTTCTATAGGAAATTTACCTAAGTTCGCTTAGAAATTATTCAAAGAGTTTTATCATATCGATTTTGTGAATCAATAGTGCATTCGTTTAAGTTCATTTTTTTCTCAATATTACAGAATAGTATCTTGCAAAAAATTTCAATATCTCAAGAACGGAAGAACAATTTTTTTCAAACGACTTGCATTAAAATTCTTGAAACTCCCACTTCTACAACACATATTAAATTGAGCAAAATCGAATGATCTCGATCGAGCAAGTTTACAGATTTGTTTGGCTATTTTCTTTATCTTTTAAAAATGACTCGAAATAAAATAGACGAATGCTTATCAACAATGAGTACAGTGGTTGGCGAATTTCACATCGTCCATTATCAATAAACCTAAATCGAGGTCGTTTCTTGTCGAATAAGTAAAAGTAGTATGTGTTGAAATTATTCAACAACAAGTATCAATAGTACAAATGATTTAATTTCTCATGATAAAAACCATATTAGATTTGTTTTTTATCTTTTATCATATTATACAATAAAAAAAATTATTAGAAATTTTTTCTACAAGTCAGGCCATTTTCACAATTCCTATTCTGATTCGAATATGTTTTCTAATGTTAGATAGATATGTGGCTACTACCCTACTTGCTATTTCTTGATGTTTTAATAAAAATAGTATTTGATTCAATTTTAACTTGGTTCTTTTAAAGATATTTTCTAGGCAAGACAGTGATGAAGAGAGTAATCAACAAGAGATGGATGTGAGAGTGTAATTAGGCGTGAGTATTGTCTTCTTCACGTCCACACCCATACCCAAATGATCGTTTAATAAGTGAAAACGTCATAAAAGGAATAAAAGAATAGAATAAAGAAAACTCAAATCAAATGCCTATCTTTCACTTTTATTTCTATTAATGTTTATAAAGAATATCTTTATTAATTTGATCAATCGATGTTAATCCACAACAAGCCATATCAAAAACTAATTCACGCTTTAATATATCTAATACTCTTCGAACACCATCTTGTCCACCACAAGCCAATCCATATAAAATTGGCCGACCAATCAAAACAGCTCGTGCACCTAATGCTAATGCTTTTAATACATCAGTCCCAGTTCGAATACCATTATCAACAAATACTAAATAAATAAAGAATCGTTTGGTGATTTTCGTAAGGAACATTCGAAGTTTCACTCGTATATACACTTTTCTCTTTTACATATCAAGTTGATGGTGAAAACATTTTCTTAAATTTGAATTATATCGACTGTGCCAAAATATTTACAACATTTTTTTATCTCGGCATAGGTGAATGATAGAATCTTGATCTTTTTAAAAAAAAAGCGCCACGAAATACTTCACAAACATTGTATAAGCAGAAATCCTTACTGACACGCTCTGATGGTTTTTCTTATACTCAAAATGTACAACTTACATGATACTACTACTTCCCATCGTGTTGAGCATAATAAAAATGTTTGGAAGATTTTTTTAAAATTATTTTGCGTATGTCTAGGTTAAAGAAAATGATAACATCTTTCTTTTTTTCGCGATGAACCGCCGAAAGCTCTATAAAAGCTGTATGAACAAATCTTTAGTGCGAAACAAAAAAATCTTCCATACATTTTCATTACGTACCACATGGTGAAAAGTAGCACTATTATGTAGATTATACATTTGTCGTATGGAAAAAACCATTAAAACATCTCAGTATTGATTTGTTAATATAAGTTTTGTAAAGCTTCTCATGGTGCATCTTTAAAACAAATAAAAGATCAAGATTTTATTATTTTTATGTGCAAAATAAACTATTTTGGCATGTTCGGTATATCGTTTATTTGTTGTTAGTGATGATAAGTAGTAAATTTTAATTCTGCAATCCTTTTTGATGAAATAGGAATACCATCGTTTATCGATTTGCGATTTAGTTTTTGTCATAAGATTTCTATCTAATGAGTTTGATACTTCAATAATAATCTCACTCTTGCACGTCAAAACATTACACATATAATATTATTTTCTTATTATCTCTGTTTAAACAAATACTTTATATAAGATTAGTTAATATAATTGTAATTAATGACTTTAGTGTGAGTAAAAGGATGTAAAAGCAATGTGTTTTTGTTGGTTGTTATATCTTTGAAACTCTGCGATAGTTCTCTTTTTCTTTGAATTCTTTTATTGATTCAAAATATTGCTAACAGCCAAATATTAAAAAAAAACAAAAATCAACTCCTGAAATGAGGAGATTTTCGGTCAGGGGTGTCCTGGTCAAATTAGAAGATTTAGCAAGCTTGAGCTACTCTAACAATATAGAGAGTTTAACCAAATCAACGGCTTTCTAAAAAGGAAGCAGATAGATAACTTTTCTCATCTTAACTATGTCGAGACGTTTTAAAAAACTTTATTCTGCCTAAGATTTGATATCTTAAGAAGATAGTTTAAAAATCTGTTAGATTTTTTTCAATTGTCATTAAAACAAGCCTACCTTCTGCACGTCCATCTACAGCATTGACGACATCTTCTAGACATTCAATAGCTGGTGGTGCTGTATCAATTAGTCGACCCCCATAGTTACTAAAACCAATAATAGCAAAAGATATATTCAGTTAACTGATTATATACAAAGTAGATCTGACAATAATCCCATTTGCTCCATATTTAATTGCTAATTCTGCATCAATTGGTGAGAGTATACCTTTGCAAATAATTGGTAATTGTGTCAATTTTCTTAAACATTCAATATTTGCCCATGTTACTGAACCAGTGCCAAAAGGTTGCTTAACAATTATACCAGGTATATTCAAATTTGGTATTGACATATTCTTCATTAAGTCTGGATCGATATTCTTTGATGCTTCTTCAAATAATGCTAATACAAAATCTCGAATACGTTCATGTGGTTGATCACATGTAATAACAATTGCTCGATATCCTTTTTTATCAGCTTGTGGAACTATTTGTTCTAAGATTTCTACAGGTGTTGTTAAATAAACATGTAAAAATTTTGGACCTAAGATTATTAAGTACATTGAAAAGAATAATGAGATAGAAAAGAAAAGAAAAAGGATATACCGAGTGTTTGTAGAACTTTTTCTTCTGGCATATTTGAAAATGTCCAATTGTAAGTAAAAATACATTGAGTTTCAGTTGCAGCACGAGCTGTAGCAACTTCCCCATCAACATGAGCAAGACAATGACAAGCAGATGTAGCAATTAGGATTGGTGATTCATATATCGATCTATAATAAATGTTGACAAATGCATTTTGAGTTCATAGTGACGAAGTAAAAACTAGAAAAAATCTGTCTCTATAGAAGTATCGCAGCTGTTTATATTTCGATAGTTTCTCACCCAAATATAGTTGTTTTTAATGAAATTTCACTAACATCCATCAAAACTCTTGGCATAATTCTTAATTGTTTATCAAAATAATGTCTACATGCTTGATATGTATGTCCTTGACCAGCTTTGTAGTCATAATAATAAAAACGATGTGGCATCATTGATTTCTTAGCTAATTCTTCGAAATCAGATAATGTTTTACATTTTAAATATTCATTTTTCGATATCAATAATGAGAATCAATGAATAATTAAATAAATAAACATACTCGTTTTTTTCTTTTTTTTCGTTGAAAATAATTTAGAAGAATTACAATACTTGTCAACGTTGTACCAAAACATAAAATATACAATTGACTGTCTGAAAAATGAAAAGTTAAATTTCTAATTACATCGACAAACATGCTTACTTTTCATTGATCAAAAAAAATGCTCTATGTCACTTCGAAAATATCGTTAACTCAATGTGGAAATCTTCAAGTAGGATAAAAAACTGGAAAAAAATATGTATAAGATCATATAGAAATTTTTCAAGTTCGATTTCTTAATAATAGATGAATATATTTGCAAATAAATTGAATTTATTTTACTCTTATGAGAGACCTTAGATAATCTTTTTAATTTGTATCTGTGAATTTTGAATTCGAATATTTTCATCTTTAGTAAAAACAGATTGTTTTGTGTTGATAAGCATTACGAAGAATGAAAAAAAAACAAATGAATAGATAAGATGTCATCGAAGCATGTTAGAATATGATGTTACACAAAAAAAGATAAAAAAACAAATTGCATTTCTAATAAATATCTCAAAGATCATAAAAAAGAAAGAAATGACTCATCATGGTGTCTATTTCAAAACAATACAATGGCGGATCTAGAATTTTGGAAGGGTGGGAGCACTTTTTCGAAGGACATGCGGACATAAAGCAGCGGACAAAAGTTAAAATTCAACGTATTTTAGATTTTTTTCTATAATGTTAAGCGTCTAACTCAAATCCAGATAGTGATTTTAATAGCCAATGGAGTTTTCTATCTCAAATATTCAAAGGTGGCCTATGATGACAAGGTTTATAAAAACCTGGACACGGTCTTTTTCAGATCAAAGAAGACTTTATTGGAGCTGTTTTTAAAAAATACCATCGGGTGTGAGTGGGTGAGGTGCGGAGGTGTGAGGTACGGGTATGGTTGTGGATATGGGTTATTTATATCATAGCTATCCTATTCCTCACACTCTCACATCAAAAAAAGTTTCGTGCTTAAATTTTCGACGGCATTCAAAAGGCACGTTATTAGCTCTATTTATAAATCGCTATACTCATGTACTTTGTAAAAAAAATCCCTTTTCTGAATAACGCGAACAGGATTTCCAAGGTCGGAGGAATCGATATAACTCCTCACAGCATATTCTCGGGTACCGATCTTGCAAACCAATACAAGGTTTTTCAGCTCACGACAGTACCAACACAATGAGAGAAGACCTCTCTCCAGCAAAAGAACGCATTTCGAGGGTATGGATGTTCTACCTTCGGCGATACCCACCCACATCTACACCCTATACATGTGTTATTTTGAGAACAATAACTTTGAATGTACTACAGGTTACATGGAACAAGATGAAGAATTAGCGGAAAGAGTAGTAGAAATTCAAGATGCGCTATATCAGAAAATTGAATTTCGCGTTAGGTTTATATGATTGATTTCATTTGATTAGGGTGTGGGTGTGGGTGAGTGAGTGGGTGTGGATAGCTATACAAGAGTTACCCACACCAACAGCCACCATATGATGCCTTATATTACTTTTCAGGAAAGTCCATAGACTTTCTGACCAAATGAGTTTCCGGAAAAGCAAATTGCCTTTCCGCACTTGAAACATTTTCGGAAACCCAAAATGAATTTCCGGAAAATACACTTTCACTTTCCCAAAATAAAAAAATCGACCCAAGAAAAATCGACTTCCGAAAACACAAAGATCATACCACGGAAACGCAGAATAAGGTTTCCAACAACATTGTCGACTGTCGATGTGGGTGCCGGTGCGGGTGCGCCAAGGTATGGGTGACTCTAAACGACTCTCACGCTTCTATCAAGCTGCGCATCCCACAAAACGACTCACATGCCTTCCCCAGCTGTGAGTGCTACGAAAGAACGGATAGCGGAAGGACAATTCACGAAACGATAGGCCGCGAAACGACTCGCCGAAAAAGGACACCTGAGCATGTGTGCATGCTATGGGTGCTGTGTAAAGTCCACGAGAGCGTCCTGGTAGTTGAGTGTCGGGTTGTCTTGTCAGACATTGGCCAGAGATGTTTTCACATACGTATCATATTTGGAGTTGTGTTGTGAAAGTATTTGTAGCGCGTGAGGATGATTTAGTTGAACTATTGCGGTGTTGACCATACCCTGGTGGCTTTGAAAAGCGGAACCAGATTCAGAAAATCTAGAAAGATTATAGCTGATGTAGCTCTCATGGAATCACATGATAAATGTGGCAAAGGATTATGGGGCGCTTTGTTTTTGTGTTGTTTTCAATTCGTTGGGTGCAGAGTTGTTTTGGAGACGAATTCTTGCATTTTCTGGGATAAGTGGTTTTCTGAAAAATATATGGAAGAATTTTTCTTTAACGGATTTGTAGTCTTGCCTATATTTAATATTGAGAGATTATTTTTGGAATCATGGGTAGATGTGTCTGCTTTATAGTAGCTCTAGCATCAAATAATACGAACTGTGCACCTCCTGTACCCTCTGATACCTCGTATTCCTGCTATATGATGCTTTGTGAGAGTTTTCCCAGAAACTCAATTAAATATCGTCGGAGAAGGTATGGGAGATATAGGAGATGTAGAGGTATAGGAGATAGGGCATACAGGGATATAGAAGATATGGGATAACCAGTGCAGATAATCCGTAAATAGCGTGTGACTTTTAATAGTGTTCTATTCTGATATATTCATGCAACTTATCGATGGTTGCTCGAAGAAATAATCAAAATAAATAAATAACTGTTTACTATATCTCCTATGTCTCTGGGGTTCCGGAATTTCGCCAATAAGACTTTCGCCAATAGGACTTTCGCCATTGGAGAAAGTCCATTGTACTTTCGCCAATACACTTCATGGAATTTCGCCAATACATTCCCTAGAACTTCGTTAATGTGTGAAAGTCTACTGTACTTTCGTCAATATATCCCCAGGACTTTCGCCATTGATGAATGTCTTATTGACAAAAGTCTTATTGGCGAACATCCCGCCACCCATATCTCTATATCTCCTAAATATCCTACATCTTCTTTATCTACTGTATCTTCTGCATCGGTATTGAATTGAGTTTTTGAGGAAACTCTCCGAAGACATGTAATCACGTCTACGTTGATGTGGATGCTGTGAAAAGTGGAGATCTACTCGAGGAATTGTAGAAGTATTGTTTGAAAGTTCAAATGTTATCGTGAAAAGTGGACTCTGACTGCACGGAAAATGGTTTACACCACTTTAGTGGTTATTACTTCGCTGTGGAGTTTTGTTTATAGTTTTGGAGGAGCTGTTAGAGACGTGTGGTAGGTTCTTTTCGAGGATTTAAAAGGAGTTTCCTAGAAATCCAATTTATGCCCAATATGTCAATTATGTCATTATGCCCTGTTTCAAATAAAGTCCACAAAAAAAAGAGTTTCCTGAAAACCAATAGAATACATCAAATCGCATATTGAGTCAATAGAAAATTAAGTTTTTAATTCTGATCTAAAAGAAGACTGATATTATTTGTAATTTTTGCGTTTGGATGATTATAATATCTTTAGAAAGAAGAAAACAATCAAAGCACAGATAACAGTATTGTTTTTTCGTTCTTATCAGGGAGAAAAATGGTTCTTTTTAAATCGCCGAAGAGCAGCAACACAATGCACTACGACACTGAATAATCTTATCTTTTTTTGTTTACAACATAATTTTCTTTTATGATTCCTGAAATTCGATACTAAACGTCGACAAACAAAAGCACATTTGATGTTGTAAAAAAGTCAA